TATAGATTTGACAAAAACAATAGTTGGCGATGTATCGAATGCAATACAAAAAAATGTCGTGGTCGTATTAATTTGATGAATAGTCAAATTATTAAAGAAAGTGAAAAAGAGCACAATCATACACCCGATATTTCAAAAATTGAAGCGAGAAAAGCAATGCAATTTTTAAAAACAACAGCAAAACATACTGAACTTAGTACTCAAGCAGTTTTAGGTGCAGTTTCTTTACAGGTAAATATAATATAAATTATTAACTATGACTTATTATTTTTTTTTTTTTTAATTATTAACTAACTTTTTTAGGTTTATATCGCGCTCAATTGTCTTAGAGCTTAATTTTCGCAGCGCTCAAGTTTCGTGCGCTCAATAGTCTTCGCCCAATTGTCGTGCGCTCAATTTTCTGCGCTCAATTGTCGTGAATCCATCTCACACACCTCAGTGTGCACCTTGAAAACTGTGAACGTGTCTATTTTATTGAAAATAATTTCCAAGAGCAACTATCTTCCCTCCAAAAATTATATTCATCTCTTCTCTTTGATCTCTGTACAAGATATTAATTTACAAAAATTTTAAGTATGAAGTCAGTAAAATATTTTAGTTTGTCTGTACATTGAAGTGCAGATGTATTATACTTGAAACACAATCCAACTTAATTTTTAAATTCACTTGATATACCAGACATGCCAATCGTACGTTCTAGCATTGAAAATTGATGTTGGCATCATTATTTTATGAAACATAAATCCACCACCCATCTGCAATGGTACTAGGCTTGCAGTAAAAAAGTTCATGTACAACATAATCGAAACCATAATTTTAAACGGAAATTTTAAAGGCGAACATGTACTATTACCACCTATCCCAATAACTCCAACAGTTATACTGTTGGAATTCAATCTTTTGCAATTTTCAGTGCGACTCGCTTTTGCAATGATCATCAACAAAGCCTACTGATAATTAAAACAAGTGTGTGGATTGCTTTTTGAAAATTCATGCTTCTCACATGGTCACCACACAGACCTCCTCACGCGTCAGAAAACCTTCTAATTTATTTGTGTACGCACCACAAAAGAAAAAACAAAAAATATTGTGTAATCCAAATGCATTTCAATATATAGCATTTATTTGAAACCTCGAATCGTCAAACTTTTCTCCATAAAATGAGTAAATAAAAAAAATAATAATCCAAAATAAATTGATCATTGTTCTAAGGATATTAGTATATGTTTAAATTTAGTTAACAGCACAATAAGGCTTGATAAGCATGGCTTTATTTAATATTTACCTATTAAAATACATAAACAATTATTATTTTAGCAGTTATTTCGGGTGATTTATACTTAAAAAGACATAACTTCTACGGTAACACCCAAAAGTAGTTGAACTCTCCAAATTTCCTTAACGGCCAACGTCGGACACCACTCACTAATTGATTATCGCTACATCTCAAATCTATATGAACTTTAAATATGGCGTAGTAGTCTCCCCAATACTCAATACATGCAATAAGAAGGGATTTCAAAAAAAATTGGAACCGGTAGACTGTAATTCAGAGGTAATTTAGCATACAATCAAAAGTTACACCATACTTGGCTATATTTAGTGTAAGGTAATGATCCTTTAAAATCTATGTCACGGCCAAGAATGTTTCGTGCGAATTCGGGTAGTTAAGCTAGAAATAATAATACAAAAGTCATCATTTTAATAGTAATTATTTTAAGAAACAATTTTAATTTTTAATTTTTTTAATAATTTAAAACAAAGAAAAAAGTTTTATTATGATAAAAGAGAAATCAAAAAGTATAATTGATTTAAAAGGATAATGCCAATTATCAAGAAAATAATAAAAGAACGAATGGAAAATATAATAGAAGAGGTACCAATTATATTTGATCAATAAAATTTTAAATAACGAAAATTCTCATTGGACAAAATATAAAAAGTTCATCGAATCTAAGAATATAACTAAAAATGACCGAGCAAATAATTCTTCATATCCATGTTTGCTAACTCAACAAAAAACTTGAATCAAAATTGTATGTTAAATGTATTTCAATAAACATGCAATATATCCATTATGGATGTACAGTTCATAATATCAACAATTGATTTGTTTAAAAATCGATGGTTTACAATAATTCTTAAACCATAGTATAGTGTAGTAGAAAAGATATGGCTAAAAAAAAAAAATTAAGTAATAAAATACTGAGAGGTTTAATATCTAAAACTACGTACAATCACGTATTATTCAATATTCTACAGGACAGCCATTTCATATGTTGATAGGGTTATTTTTATTTTCATATACACCGGTAAAGAATTTATTTTTAACCCTGAGTATACAATTTTCTTTAATTTTTTGCCAGAACCAATGTAGATTACCTGTAGCACACGTATTCGAAGAACTTGCGAAAAGGGATAGTAATCAATGTCATTTTTTTCCATGCTCGCCAATCGAGTAACGATCATGGGAACATCATCTGCCGTTTTAGTCACCTGACTGATAAGAGACTCGTGTCGCCGATACATGTCTGAAAAAAATAAAAATGTCATTCTCAATATACATATATAATAATACACATTCATAGTTGTACTATTTTCACCATATTTAATGAATATTCCACAACAATATTTAATATTATTTTTTTTACAATTTAAAAAAAAACCAAGACGATCATACCCGTATATTCTTAATATAAAATATAAACACTAGTTGAACGAATTTGAGCGATTGATGTAAAAAAAATGTACTTTCATTTTTTTTTCTTATAAGCTACCATAAAAAATACCCAACTGAAGTATTATCTACATTGTCAAAATTAATCGAATAATTTCAAATCAAAAAAATAAATATATTTTACGTGTAATCCAATAAAGAACTATAATTATAAGATCTGAGATTTGTATGAAAATATGACTCCCTTCCTTCTTCCGTGAGTAGAATTATTTATTTATTTATTTATTAGATTTATTTTTTATTTATTTAGTACTTGTTAAAAGATATTTGTGTACTATACAATGAAACCACTTTTGATTGAAATACATTTTAATCATTTACAGATTGTAATATCATCATTCAAACTTTATTGTTTAATATTCACCACAAAGGTTTTATAAATATTAAGTTATACGTTAATTAAATATCCATAGTAGTTAATAAAGGCTTATACAGTTATTAAAGTTTTATAATTTAAAGGCTATTCAATTTTTTCCATGATATTTTATCACATTCTGTTAACTTGTAAATTATAAGATGTAACACTTAATTTTATTTATATCATGTAAGTTTGATGTATGTTGGATAGAGTAATTCGGATCTCAGAAAAACAAATACTTATTAATACTTATTTAAATATTATGTCTAGTAATTTAATAAAAAATTGTAATTTTAAAATAATATCATAAAATATAATAAATATCGCAAATATCACAATATTAAAATTAAATAAATTATAAATAAATGAAACATTAAAAAAACAATTATTAATTATTAGAAATATTTTAAAAAATTTCGACTTAAAAACCATAATACTTTCATAGTCTTAAAAAATTTTTGAAAGTTCGTTTATCTAATTCGATATACTTTTACATGGAATAATAAACAATATAATCAACTAATCAAATTTAACTATAATAGTATTAACAGTTATGCCAAGATATAATCATTGTAATAGACGATTAATAATAGGATATTACAAAATGTAGCCACATAAACGATATACTACTGTTTTTATTTTTTTGACGTTCAAACTACTACATTTAAATGGCAATTTCCTAGATTGAAATTGTATTAAAAATGAATATGTTTTATAATTTCACTTATATCTGTACTGTTATTATTATAATTATTATTATTATTATTATATATTGTATATTATAATTAATTAATTAATTGATATTCCTCGTACTATTTTTTTACAAAAATTAAATATTTAAAGTTTTATATTTTTACATGCAAAAAATGTAATTTTGTATATTGAATATTATTGAGTATTAGTTAATTATATTATAATATTTTCAGTGAATTGCGCATTTATCGATCTAAATATCATAGTTCAATGATCCACTTTATTCTCTGTATTATATTATACTTAATTCTTGTTAAAACAGGCAATAAATAAATAATACAGTTAATTAAAAATTTTAAGCTGTACTTTCATTTATAACGATTTATTAAAAAAATTACTCCACTTAACCTTACAGTCTCAAATTAAATTAACTGATGGAATTTATAATTTCATTTTTTTATTTTTTTGTTACCATGTTTCAGGAGATCCTGGTCATCTGGACCGGAAATATTACTACACATATACATTATAATGTGCATTAAACAAATTAGGCAACGAGTGTATCTGTATCCTAATGTGAATCGAGTATTCTAAAATACAAACGTAAGTAAATTCAAATTAATTAAATATTTATAAGATAAAAAGTTTTATTACAGTACTTTTATTATTTTATACATTCAAAGTAATACATACTTAAAGTAACGTATCATTTAAGTCTAAATAATGTTTGTATTGTTTTATATTACGTTTTATATTTTTTGCTCAATTTTTTATTTTTAAATAGTAAAGAAAAAAGTAAACTTACTCCACCTATATGTTTACCATTATGGAACATTTAAACGTTATTCAATTTAAGCGTTTAAATGTTATATAAATTTAAACGTTTAAACAATTTTCCGTTTACCGTTATTGAAAATTAAAACATTTTCAAATGTAGTATTTAGCAATTAATACTATGTAAAATAACATGACATATTTTAAATATTATATTATATATATATTACCATTAACTAGTGGTATATTGGTAAATATATTTGTGGCTATACGCATTAAAAAAATATAGATATTAATCCTAAAATAAATTTTCTTGCTTTGCTCGACAATTGTTTTCTCTCGACACATTCGAAAAAATGTAATTAATCCTTTGTAACTACATATTTATAACTTCTATTAAGACTATAAAATATAACACCACAAGATATAAATTTGCAACGTGTTATAAATTGCATGACGCAGATTTAAGAACCATGGGCTGAATGTTCACACTCTATACTATTTTATTCAATGATATTCACTACAGTTAACAAAATACATTTAACACAGCATACGCTGTAATCTTCAACTGCTAAATATTTCAATCAATTTCATGGTTCTTAACAATTTTCCAATGAACTATTAAATTTTTATTAGTTTTTTTGTTTTCAAGTTATTATAGAAGCGTATACCCGTAAAATAATATTTTACATTAGGTATACGCTGAAAATCGAAAATCTGCTGATGTGTATTCGTGCCGTATACCAGCGTATACGTATCAATAAACCCCTGCCTTTAACGATATTTCATTTTGTAATTCGTATAACTCATAGCTTATAAATAAAACAATCATATTTATTGTATAACAACAATAAAATGCACATACCACATAAAATATGTATTTACTATCAATTTATAACTTCTGTATAATACGAATACCAAAGAAGTAGTGATAAATATAGGATAATATATGTGTATAATTATTGGTAGAAAATATTTAAGTTTTCTTGAAAAACTTTACACCTCAATGAATTGTAAAGAGTGAAAGGTTATTTCGAGATAATTAGATTCGTCGGTAAAAATAATAAACAAAATAAATCTCCTTGATAGTCAAAATGAAATTGCTTCGGTTCGTTAGTGTATGATGTTTAAATTATTCAATAATGCATGATAATTCATAAAACTTTTTAGTTGAATTTAAAGCTCAAAATATATCTTAAACTATTTTTATTTTAAATAAACTATACAATAATAATTCAAGAATATCGCTATAGAACCAAACAGATTATATGATTTTATTTTCATCATAATAAAATACCATTTGTTAAAGCCATAAAATAATATCTGATAAACTATTGGTGTAATAATAAACCGGATATTATGAAAAAAAAAAAAATTCCAAAAATATTAACAAATTCAATACCTCAACTACGGAATTTTTCTATTTAAATTTAAAATTGCATTTTTAAAACGAGATTAGATAGAAATCAAAACATATGTTAGTTAAATGGAATCATTTGTAAAAATCAAGGTTTCAAAACGTTTGTATAACGTTAAGATTTATAATGTTATAACGGAAAAAAAAAAATAAAATAAATAAACGAAAAATAAAAAATGTCGTATAACATTAAAAATAATATATCATTAATCATTATTAATGATTAAAAATAAACAATAAACGTAATTGTAACGTAAAAAAATTTCAAATAACGTTATGTGGAAAAACTTTTGTGTTTTTTTTACTTTGAATCCAACATCATTTTTTTTTTTTTGATTCTTATTATGAACAATTCAAAGTTAGCTAACCTGTGTTCACAATAATTTAAACTTTCCGAATTATTTTATTGAAGGTTTATTTATCAATATTTAATTTATTACTAGATAAAAAAATAGATACCTATTCAACTAATTGTCCATTTATGTTCGATTTAATTAGAGAAAAATGCAGGCGTGTTATTTGGAGTATTATTCAATGTAAGTAATTTCAAGTTGCTAGTCAGTTATAAATATTTTGCCATGAATTGAGATAACCCTTTAATTTCATAATTATATATATACAACAATTTAATTCCATATTTATTTTTAAATTACTAGTTGGTTACCCAGGGTGCACCACGAGGAATTGAACTGGTTTACACCCCAAAAATGTTTTTTTTTAATTCATTCAATATTTATATTAAAATCATATTATCTCGTTTATTTAACTTACACCACAATTTAATTTTCTGTCAAATAATCCATAAAATCTTGAAGTTTTTCATGTTCAGGCATTATAGACATAAAGTCTTCTACAAAACATTTTTCAGCATCACCTTAACGAAATTTCTGTTATAACAAAAAAAAAAAATCGGTCCCTTGGAGTTCGTTGTAACGGAAACTTACGCAATCGAGCTCTTCGGTTAAAGTAGTCGATAAAACCTCGGACGCACCAGGCTATACGATAAAACCTGCAGATAAAATCGCGGACGCACTCGGGCTATGAAAAAGGTAAAAATTAAAAACGGGATGCACTCGGGAGACCCTCGAATCAATATTCGCGAAAGGATTTGAAAATTGTGTTGATTATTTTTTTAATGAATTATTGTGATAGTTTTACAAAAATTAATGGTTTCCCCCCCTCCAAAATTAACTTAAATTAAATTAAAAATAATTTAACCTATATCTCATGTATTATTATGATTATTATTATTATTTTTAATTAACTTTATTTAGTGCTGTATTGCAGCTTACACATGCATCAAGCTCGTTAACGCTATCATTAACAACTGACATGACCATCTTTCAATATTAATTGCTCATTAAAAGTGAGTGTTTTCATATTTATATGAAACCCAAACATGTCTTGTAGTAGTAAGCAACACAAACGAAATGTATCCCCATTGTTGTCATCGTCGTCATCTCCCAAAGCCGTCGACAAAAATTCCAAAATCTTTGTATCTTCAAAATAATATACCGCGCTCTCAGAGGATTCAGCATCATCAATTGAAGTCTTTAGCCTTCCTCTGATTCCAGTTCCAACTACAATCCAAGGTGAGGTTATCAATCACATATTTCGGGCGAAACCGTCTCCAAATGACACTCTAAGTCACCCCCAATATTTTTCAGAAATATTTCCAACTTAAATGATTTATAGAATGAACTTATCTCTTTCGTGGGATCAGGTGGGTTCACCGTATATTCAACAAAAGATTTCTTAAAAATCACAACTCCAAACTGCGTTATACGTGTTCATTTGTAACGTTTATTCACTAAATTTATCATTTCACTCCATTAGAAGATATTGAAACATCCCTCACGGAAATCGATTTTCGTCCTTAATGTTGGCAATATTATTAATAATACCAACAACTAGCCGATGTCACTATTTACTATTGAACTTGATAACATCGAATTCAATAGGAATATTTTTAAATTGACAAAACTATTGTATTTTAAAGTCATCATCCAAAGCCCGAGACCAAGGAAAGTTCGACTTCATTCAAAATATACACGTTTTTATATTGTTTTTTCCACTTCTCGGTAAGTTAAATGCAGCCTGGATTACGTATATACAAACCTTGATAAATATAGATTAAATTTAATTATTAGGTAAATCATTGGATTTAAAGATTTAATTTATTATATATTTTACATATTTTTCAGTTGGATTGGTTTATAAATTGTTAATAGTTCCATAAGTATTTCTTGCATGCATTAAACGCTGTGTCCTTGTGTATTCAAACGTAAGGCATAATACACAATAATCGATTTCCCGTTGTCTAGTAAAAAACCAATTATTCTTTGAAGCAAATTACACATTTTAAGAATTATTATTATAATTACAACATTTGTATAGATATAGTCAATATATTATAAACTGACAACGAACTACGAGATGATAGGAGAGTTCTAACACAGACAGTAGACGCTTGTATATTTAGTCTCTCTAAATTTGTTCTGGAAGTCTTAAACTTATTTTTCTCATGTTCTGAAACCTTAATCAATATATAAATCATTCTTGGAGAATGTTTCCACAGTGAATTACAAAAATAGTAATTATAATAATGTATGAAAGAGTCTCGCGTTCAGCTAAACACTTGCACAAATTAATAGATGTACGAACATTAATAAAAAAAATGATATTTACTGTAGTAGTGTAAGAAAGTAACAATTAACAATTGTACTAACGTTTTGAAATACAGGAACTCATAAAAATCGATTTTACCGTCAAACAAGCTTCAATTATTGACACCGCAAGCGATTTGACAACATTAGATAAACGTAATCTCTGAAACAAGAGTATAATAATATTTTAAAAAAATGAAGATAGTGTTATAATTATTGTATCTGTTACGAATTGATTTTGAATATTCATTCCCCGAGTGCTTCGGTTATTCTATCATAAGAATACATAAGGATACAAGCTTATATCTACTGTAGAGATTAATAAATAATAAATCACGGAGAGATATCCCCTCGTGTATGACACGAATATTTAATCAATTTCAAAGGTTGTATTGTGATATTTTATTTATTTTTAAATCGACACATTACATTTAAGCTTATTTTCGAAATTCTCATTTCGAGTTCTGAAATTAAAAATAATAATTAAACTCCTTTACGTGTACCCGAGATCTCGGAAGCAAAATTATTACTTTTTTCATTTAAACTTCACAAGCACATTTTCGTGCTTATATAATAATATCATGTTCATACGAGTACACCAGATTGTAATAAAACAATTGTTTCACCTTAACGAAATACTCATTAACACTGTACTTATTGTTTTAAACTGAACTTTTACACTGTTGAAACTAGTTTTGTTGTATCCCTACGTGGCTGTTTTATTTTGGAGAAATATAATTAATTTCATTGATAAATTAATGGTTGGTCTGTATCATATACATGGGAAATATGGTGACTTAGACTTTAGAGGTTGGTTGAATGGACGGTTTATACACTGTTATCAAATTGCTCACATCACACAGATTTAATTGGCTAACCGTTATTCACCCAACAGCAATTTAATAATAACAATCAACAGTTTCTCTAACGTAGTATATTTACTAGTTAAGCAGATAATTCAATAAATATGATAAAATTAATATTTTTTAAAAATATACTAACAGTAGTTTAATAGTTAGTTAAAATAGTAGAAAAAAACTGATTAAACCAATACGTGATCGACTTGAATATAACCATATTACTTTCTATGAAATCTTAGTATAATGCATATAGAATTTAAAAGCCATAATAATCTTATTATGTCATAGGTTATTAATTTAATTATTGGTTCAAAAAAATATACTATAAAAAAATAAGTTTTTTTTTTTTAAACTTAACTTCTAATATAATTATATTTTGCTGCTACGTAAAAAAAAGTTTCTAATACAATATTTAAACCATTAATGTATCAATTTGTTTACTACATACAATAAATTAATTTTGTTATTATTTAAATCTTATTACAAAAAAAAACCCTTAAGAATTTTAAAATTTTGAATAATTAAATGATTCGGACGATATAAAAAAGTTATTTACAATTCATACTGATCATACCTAAAATACCAACTCAACAATCAAAATTGAAATAAATTTTTATTAATATTCTCACAATATTTTAAATTTACAATTTACAATTTAATAAATTGATAAAATCAATCGACACAATTTGATCATAAATTAATTTTTATTACAATAAAGTTTAACCATTAAATAAATAAAATCAACTACATAACTAATCGGTAGTTCTAACAATATTTTAAAATAATACTACTTTTTTTCAAATAACTTTAAAATTTAGTTAATATTAAAATAATATAATTTTATAAATATATAATATGTATTGATATTATGAACAGTTAGTAATATTATCCTACATGTAACATTGAAAAGATACATAATGCACACTTTGTACACTTTGCTTTATATTATCATGTCCAAAAAATGTATAAGGTTATTTTATTATAATAAAATTATTTTGCACTCGTGTGTAAGGGATATTAAGTCATTTGTATATAAATGTAGAAATTATATTTTACAAGGTATACAAAAAGAAATATAAAAATTTTAAAAATGCATGTTTAGACTTATCTATTTGTAATCTTTATTTGAAAACTTCTTAAGGAACAATATTGTATAAGAGTTTATGAGCATGAATATTGATAGAGCAAAAAAAAAAAAAATAAAATAAACATATCAAAAACTTTTTAACAAAACATTTTACATATCTGATAGTCCAGACTCATGAGTTAAAACAGTTTTCACTAACTGTATTAAACTTGGATACAAAAAATAATGTCTACATAATAATGCATGTAAAATATCTAAACTTGTTACAACATATAAATGTAGGTACTTAATTTTTATCGAAGGCTTTCATTAAGTCTTGGTGGTTTTGGAGTTTTTTGTTAACGCAAAGCCGTACATGCGGCCTTTACCACATGATACGTAACGCTATATTTTCCGAGGTATATGGTTGCGGTGATTTCCATAAGCTTACATGCGGGCTTGTATTTAAACATTGAATAAAATGTATATAAATATCATATTTACCATCATACATTAGTAATTCGAAACAAAGGTAGATCGAATGATCAACATCGTCCTATTTTATTAATTATCTGGAACGCAGAACTTATTATTCATAAGTCTCATTTAAATACATACATTTATTTTATATTCAATATGATTTCAAACGCTTTTGACTTGTATTTTTGCATATTTAGATATTCTTCAGTATACATATTTGTAATTGTTATGAGGATAATTTCGTTTTCTTTCTTTATGTTGCGGTGCACATAAAAAATCAAACACAACTTAAAAACAAATACCATAACGAGAATTTAATTATTTTGTCAATTTAGTCTTGTAGTTGTTTTTTTTTCATACTCGTACACATAAAATGTTCATAAATTCCATTTAAAGTTTTGTTAAACAAATTAATTATGGGCTTAAAATTAAGTCAAATACTTGAATATGTTAAATATATTCGCATATTTAACGTAAAATTATAATGTAAATTAACCATTATTCATTATAAATGTATACTCTTGTTTTTGAACTTTTCATTGCATGATTGAGTATATGTGATGTGACTGAACTAGAAAGAAGCATTTTGCCTTTTCTATTTTTATCGAATTCCGAATCTTATGTATTATCACGCAGAGTTTACAACTATATTGTAAGTGTATGGATTACACGCATGAATCATGTTGAAAAAACAATGGATGCACTCGTTCTGAATTTTATTTCTAATATCATGTTATACTCAAAATCATCAAGCTGACAGATTCAGTTTCCAGACGGAGGAACTAGGGGAATAAAACGGAACAGTGTCTTCGTTGTCTATGTCTAGTTTGAAAACATTGATTTAATCATATATTATTTTTTTTATTTTTATTTATTTCGTCTTATTTATTATTTAATTATTTTTATTTATTATTATTTATTTATTTTAATGAATATAACAGTTAAGTATAATTTTTTATATGTTATTATAGAAAATTCAAATACCACTCACTCACTCACTGTTCGCTAACGGCAAAACGTATGAATTAATAATAATCCTATATGTGCAACAAAAATGGATTTATCGAAGATTATACTTTTAAGGGTTGATAATTTTTGGACTGAACTTATAATTTGTTTCCCTATTTGGGTCACCTAACCAATGTTTTATTTTATTAAATAAATAAATTTTAATAACTACCGAGTGAGAACAAATGTGAATTAATAAGGCATGAATCAATAAAATATCATTAAACATATGATGATTCTAAGAATATTTGAACCTACGTTTTTTTCGTCTTTTAACTACTCTAACCTAAAATTGTAAAAAATTCCCCAGACAAAACTGGATTATTCAAATAGTTACATGATATTTTATGATCAGCGGAAGCTCCAAGGTTATATCGGACGAATTCAATCAAAACACACATCCATACGGCATTACGTTTCTCCGTATCGGTTCAATGCATCGCCATATAATTTCGTTAAACTCGCGCGCACACTACACTCAACATCATCAAACACAATAAAACCGTTGTTAAATGTGATCGTTATAAAAGACAAAATAAATAAATGTATTGCAAACAGCTGTTGATCGCAAGAATTCAATTTATAATGTACGAAAAAAGGTACACCACGTTATTTTTCTGCAACGCCATTTCCGTTTTGAAGAAATTCTAACGCAACACCATCATCAATATAAACACACTTCTATAATGTATTATTATATATAGTGTAGGTGCCGTAATTATTTGATAAGAATACAATAAGAAAATTGATCATACCTCGTCTGAACCTCGGTCTTGTCATTGTGATAAAACACTCGTGACAAAGACAAATACCCAATTGACATTTCCAATACGTTCTGTCCACACTTTGTCCAATTTAAGTTCTAAAATCATTGACGCGAGTGTGCTTCCTAGAAATAAATTCCGAAACGTTGCGAGTGATGTGCTTCGGTCGGGAAAAAAGCAAACTTGTAACAATATTTGTTTTTAATGATTATTTCGATTGTATAATTAGTTAATTTATAAATAATGGTCCCTTGAAATCTGGTAGGTAACTTGGTATTTCGTAAGTTCGTCACAATATTCAACGTACGTATTAATTTTAGTTAGATAACATATTTTTCAAATACGTTGAAAGTACAATAACATTTAATAACTATTAAAGCTATATATATAAATATATAGCTTTTTTCCCCCAAATTAGACAAAATAATTTTTAATTGAACTAATTACACCCCATCAATATTTTATAATAGATTTTCGAATTCTTACTAACCTTGAATTAGAGATAAACTAAAAAAAATAATTTTCTTCGTCGTCTTGGTTTTATGACTCTCCAAGGGTCTTCGTCACCACCGCCAAACCCTTCCATATTTCCCTATTATAGATAATATCTTTTCAATCTTCTACGTCTAGTGTTCTTAAATCCTGACTTACCCCGAAGAACCATCGCTTTCTTGGTTTACCCTTTAATATTTTCATTTTTTTTGGTATTCTATGGTTGCCCTCACAGTCTTTGCTTCATCCCTTCACATAGCGTGTCTATAAATCTTCGTGTTTTATGTAATTTCTCGGATTTCGGAGTTTGTCCTTTTTCACCAGCACTCCAATTCGTCATCATATAACGCATCACAAATCCTTCTCAATACCATTTTCTCAAAAGAAAGTAACCATTTCTCCATTTGCGCTGTTAATGTCCATATCTCGCAGCCATACGTCAGCGTCGGTCTATATACAGCCATATAAAGTTTTCATTTCGTCCTTCTCGAGA